TACAAATAATTTTTGTCAACCAGGATAAATTTACTTTCTTAATTTTCAATTTCACTTCGCCATTTTAGCATCAGAATACTCTATGGTCTTTCACATGATCTCATTAATATTTAAGCATGTATTTATATATATGGAGCATCTCAAATACAATGCACTTATTGTATTTATACATGTGGAGCATCCCAAAGACAATACATTTATTGTATTTATACATGTGGAGCCAATCCCAAATGCAAGTGTGTAACTCAATCAGCCTAAAAAGAACTCAGTTTATCTGAACTGAGATCTCTAAATTCACAAACATTTTATCCAGCTAATCCTCTCTTCACCTCCACTTTTTAGCCATGCAGTTGGAGCTACAATGATGGCAAATTACAGCTCTGCCAAGAGGTTTGACTTGGGAGCCCTTACTGCATTTTGGCATAATTTTTCATGTTTTTCAGGTGGCTATAGGAAATTTTAAGGCATAAGGAATATCTAAAATGCTATGTATCGATAGAAACTGATGACAAATGAGGAATTTTTACAGATTTTCAAATATGGTTGCTCATAGACGAAATAGGAATGCTACCATGGCTGTTCCTGAAGGAAGAGAAATAAGACAAAGGTTAGGCAAAACTAAATGAGCTTCTCATATGAAATTTTGTTCTTCCCTGATTCTGGACCTTTTTATCAGATAAAACAGATTGCTGGCCATGTGTGCCAGTGCAGAAAGAGGCCTTCAGAGGAGAAGCTGAGTATAGTGGGCAAAAGAAACAACATCAGCTATGAAACTACTACTCACTAATTCATGAGAAAATCACAAATCATCCCTTCCTTTTTGCAATATTAAAAGAGATTATTTATTGTGGCCACTTAACAACTAAGTGCCATTATGTTCACTTATGTGAAAAGTTTCCAGATTGTTTTCCATACTACTACTACTACTAATAATAATACTAATATCCTTTATAATCAAGTTTTTTTACCTGGCATTTTTTTCTTATGGGTTCACATAAAAACTGAGAGTTTAGAAGTATCAAAGTTTAGAAAAATTTTTTTGAGCAAGGAGCAAATGACACTGCTATGGTATTAGATGCACAGCAAGATACTCACAGTGGAGTCTGTATAAAAGACATTTCACTATTTTCTTGAAGTTACAGGATTTCATAGAACAAAACACTGACCTACTGTGCATTTCGCCATTTTGTTCATGCTGAACTTCTTAAAAATTTGCAAGAACTTAAAATACTAGAGGAGACAGAGCTGATTTGAATACAAAGCACACTGTGATTTCATTTCCTAGCTCTGAAAACCAACATTGGGTTCTGCAGCATTTTTATCATTTTTCTGTTGACTGACATTTGGAAACACCCACTTCATTCCTAGCAGCTTCACTCACTGAATCACTTCCAATTGAGTTGAAGAAAAGTGCAGTGAAAGTCCACAGATGAAAAATCTTATCTGACTACTGTGTGACTCCTTTTGCTTTTTTTTAATGTTCTTTTTTCACCCTTTTTTTAAAAATCCATTCCCTGCACTTCTGTCAGACTCCAAATGGGTTTTTTAAGGAGAATGTGCAATTTCTTTATAGTAATAATTATGAAATGTTTAAGCTAATTTCAATATTGTTTGATTTCTCTACTTATAACAACTTTAAGCGTGCCAATCTACATGGAAAAATGTTCATACAGCTTTCATTGTCTAAAGTCATACTTAACATTAAACTGTAAATGGAGTGGTTGTCGACAACAGATTTTTTTTAATAGCAAATGCAACATATGCCAAAGCCTCAACAAACACAATTATCCAAAGTTGTTAAGTTCGGTGTTAATTTTCCATACTCACAGTGCCAGAAATATGTTTTGGGTTTTCTTGCCACATTTGGGTATATATACAGCATGGGAAAAATAAATACATTCTCTTTTCAAAAGTAGAAGCAAATAGGATTCCTCAGCAATTAAGAAACTGGAATCCATTTGTAAAATCTGTTAATTTTGTACGACTATAGAAGCATGTGGTAGGTTGAGAGCTGGCCAAAAGCCAGTGCACCCACTAAATTTATTTATTCATTTCCAGCTGTGAGATAAGGATTAGGAGAAGGGCAAAAGTAAGCTCTAAACTTTAAAGGGTATAAATAAAGTTTCATTAAAAGAACTAAGAGAAGAATAATAAGAATCAAAATTAATTGTTAGAACATTTCTCCTCCTTTTTTTCCCATTGACAATCTAAAGACACAGAATCTGGTCTTTTCAGTCAGCTTACCACTTCTAAAATAATCTTTCTTCAAACCACCTAGGGAGAGGAGTCTCTCCTGCCATGCCATGGAGATTTTTCCACAGGAAACCCATCTCTCATGGTTTTAATTTTAATGAATGGCAGCTGCCTGGAAATCTGCAATCATTAAATCCCTCCCCCAGTTTGGTAGTTTTTCCACAACTACCAAACATGGGTCATCTCAACTCATCCTTTAAATTGCTTGATTTTAATTGCTCGATCGAGCAATTTTAAGGATGAGCTGTTCTAGCATAGAAACAAAAGTTCTCTTCATTTATCTCTGGTAACAGAGGTTTTCTTCTTCTATTCCTGGGGCAAAACGTTTCATCTCTCTCATCTCTATCCTTCTATTCAAGATTTCCATTGAATCACAGCTACTTCAAGGTGTGCTTGTTTCAGCACTGGTGCCTCTGTTCATGGCTGGGTTAGAGCACTGCATTCCATGAGTTACAGGGGAAAAAAGAACCTGATGGCTCAATCTTCTCTTCGCCACAGCCTTACCACAGAATTTCAGGGCACGGTTAAAGATCTCCTTCCACCTCAGATTTGACTTCTTCACTGACCTCAGTGTCTCCATGTTGTTCTCTTCATTTTTCCTTTTCTCTGATTCGGGAGAAGCTCCTCTCCTCTGAAGAAAACAGGAAGCAAGAGAGGTTTTAGCAGTTCTTTCTTCTCCTAAATATAATGATTTGTAGAGTTTTTTTTCTAATTGGTTACTTGCCACATCAATTTTTTAAAGCCAGCCAGTAATTGGCTCTGCCAATCACACAGGAAGCTGTAATGTTCTCTAAGAAAGAATTACTTTTGCATCTGATGTTCTTTCTTTACCTTAACTAAAAACCAAACTATTTCAAACTACCAAAAGTAGTAAAATTACAATCTTGGCATTTTCTTTGTAACATATAGGTGATATATATATACACAAAAACATTGACAATGACACTTAAAACTGAAAAAAGAGAAAAAAGTGATGGTCCTGCTCTACTAGTGCAGCCTCACCTTGAGGACTGTGTGCAGTTTTGGAATTAATCAAAGGATATTAGGTTGATAGAGGACATCCAGTAGAGGAAAATGAACATGGTGAAGGATCTGGAGGGAAAACCTCAGGAGGAGTGGCTGTGATTTGTGTTCAGCCTGGAGAAGAGGAGACTGAGGGGAGGCCTCGTTGCAGTTACAGCATCCTCATGATGGGAAGGCGGAGGGACAGGCACTGATCTCCTCACTCTCATGGCCAGGGGCAGGATTTGAAGGAAAGCCATGAAGCTGAGTCAGGGGATGTTTAGTCTGGGTATCAGGAAAAGGTTCTCCACTGGAACAGCTTCCCAGGGCAGTGGTCACAGCACAAAGCCCAGCAGAGCTCAAGAGACATTTGGACAATACTCTAGGAATTGTCCATATGGTGTTCTGGGGCATCCTGCACAGTGCCAGGAGTTGGACTCTATGATCCTTGCAACTCAGCATTTTCTATGAATCTATATAAGCTATTTTTTAAAAGATGCTTTTAGAAACATGAATTCACAGGTTTTAATGAATGTAGTCTTTAATAACCATTTTCTGTTTTCCATACTGGCTCCAGAAGACACATCACTACTGATGTGACATAGAATTGTTTTTAATCTGAGTTTACTTCAGACTTTATAATGTAGTTTCAGAAATCATTATAAATAATGATTAGTTTGAGTGTGCATTATTTGTGCTTTATGGTCATTAGAGTTAATGGGGACTTGGAATTATTTAATTCCTGCTATCTTTCTTATCTTAGATGTTTCTGTCCTCAGGCAATCTAGACAAAGAGGTATTTGGTCCTCAGAGGGCATTGCTCCCATAAAAAAGAAGCTGTCAATGGTGATACTGCAAATGTGCACAAAGCACCCATCACCATGTCTGTGCCTATTTTTCAAAACATAAAATTAACCACAAAAACCATGGTTTCAGACCTAAAGACTGACTTACATCTTCCTTCCTTCGTTTTGTCTTTACACTTGGACAATTCTCATCAGGATTCCTCATGACTGACAACAGAGACGTGTTTGTTGAGCCTTTCCTGTGGGGATTTCCCAATAAATGGTGTGGGACAGGTTGTATTCCACGTGCTGAACAACAGGGAAAAAAAAATATGAAAAAGATGTTTGCCATTTTCTTCTCAGGGAATTCAGAAGACTAGTAGCTGTGTTACACTAAGTTTCAGATTAATCTACATGTTTAAGCCACAGAGACATTGCTTCATAGACTGCTTCTGCCAGAGGAAAACCATCAGCAGCTGTGGAACAAATCCACATTTAATAACTGCAACATTTTTGACTAGGTGACAGTGAAAGAGATGAAATAAAACTGTTTTGGTAATAACTGATGTCCTCAGCTTTCTCCACCATAGTGACAAGTTTCTTGTGTGTTATAAAACTTTGCCAGACATTTCAAATATTTCTCTTTGCAAATAAACACATGCTCTTGTTCATCCAAGGTTAATTTAAAATGAGAAAAATACCATGAATAACAAATACATGAAAGTCACTTGGGTATGGCTTAATCCTAGCAATCAATTATATCTCAATAACTCTTAAAGTGATAGAATTAAAGGAAAAAAAAAGGAAAAACATGTTTGGACAAGCTAGTAAAGAACTTTACACACAAATAGGCAAAATTGTCTATTATTAACCAGTCATAGTACCTCAGCAAAATACATCCCATGTGAACCGAACAAGATTGAGCAAAATATTATTTCAAAGAACACGAACCTGGCAGTGATGGTGCTCTATATTTTTCTCTCTGAGAGCTACAAGAGAAATTTTCATTTATTGGGTTTCAGTCTTGGGTTTTCATCTTTCACTCCAGTGCAGACCCTCTTCCCATAGGATGTGTCTTCCCTCTTAAACGAAGCCATTTCTGATACGTCAACCTCTCTGAGATACCTGGAAGACATTGCCATACATTACAACAAAACACTCTAAATTGATTTTTAAGTCTTTCTTTTCCAAGCTACAAAAGTTGCATTGGATGGATACACCCTCGACCAAGGGAGCATTTTGGTGTACTTTATTTTGTTACTAGAGGGGCAGAAACTGAAAAATGGGAGCTGGGAGTGTTCACTAAATGTAATAGTTTTCATTCTTTGAGATTTTAAGGCTCCCAGTCTTCTCTGTTTTTAAAAAGCCTTATTTCTTTTTTTTTTTTTTTCATCTGATCATGAATGCATGAATCTGAACAGCATAAAGATACCATGAGGAGTTCTGTGACATCTCTCTTTGTGATCAAACACTGGTCTCAACAAGTGTGGCCACAGATGCTCCTATGAAGTTTCCACACAAAAATCCAATTGCATGGCATTCTTCTGATTACAGACATTGCCACAGCCAGCACTATGTCCATAGCTCATGTACTACAATATTCTGCCCTTCTAAGCCCTTTCCAAACTAACAATTTCTTTTTTTGTTTTAGTATTAACAGCGGCATCAGATCAGAGAAAAAACTGTCAGTTTACATGTAAATCCCAGGAAACTGGGGGGAATTTATCCCTGTTACATTTCTCACAAACATTTTATCTGCCTATCCAATTAGTGTGTTGTTTTCATGACACTGGCACTAGGGCTTCTTCTGTCTGGTATAAATATCCCAGAAGAGGGAGCAGATATTAATGGTATCAAAAACAATGAAAGTGAAACAATTTGCAGTGTTTTAGAGTAGCATTAGAATGTATAATAAACTTTTTAATAACACAAAGTGAGACTGATTTAGAAATCTCTAGAATGACATCTGAAAAGGACTTGGAGAAGCTGGTAAAAACAAATGACAACTAATGTATCTTTCACATTGGCTGTGGCAGTGATTTAGTACCTTGTCTGTGATGCTAAATATACATCATAAATCCCTCCAGCAGAAGCGTTATTATATTCATCCATCTCTACCCCTATCAGCCAATAATTCCTCCTTTCATAAGGTTTATTGTATAAAAAGGAACTCATTATATAAAATAAAATGTAGGCTACAGCCAGTGATCTTACATTAACCTAATGAGGATTTTATCTCAAGAAAGTATCTTGGACAGACCCTGTGGTCATGTTTTATAGTTAAATCCTATTTATTGAGTGACAGTGGGACTTTCGTGGAAGATAAAATGATACAGTGGTCTTTACAAGCCTACATCAAGCGATCAGCTTTCTCCTTCAATCTAAGCTACAGTTGCATACAGTTTATTAGCAATATGAATTGGAAAGAAAGCCCCTGACAGCTTGCAAAGAACAAGACAAAAGGAGCCATCATTTTACTAACTGAGACTATATGACATAACTGAAAGATAAAAGCAAATAGAAAAGGAAAATTAATATCAGTGTGAGGAGGGCCTCCATTTTAGTCAGCTGACAATAAAAATTCAGACAGTTCAAACAATTTGGTGGTTTTGAAGCACCTAGTCCACTGTTCAGCCCACTGGTAATGACAATAAAGCGCTGTGATGGGGACATGCTCACTGCCTGTATCTTCACATGACTTCAGGGTTCAGCCTGAGAATAATTCAAACAGTGAAGCACTGCAATGAGGATTTGTATAAAGAACACTGCACATCTGAAAAGTGCAACTGCCCATCACAAGAGTAAAAGTCAGTGGGCAAGATTCAAAGTGACCATGGTGCCACAGTTTCAGATGTGGTTTTTTTTTTTTTTTTTTTTTTTTTTTGTTTTGTTTTGTTTTTTTATAGTTATGGCATTTGAATTAAGTTATTCAATCATTAACAGTCACTGAAAGTTCCCACCACTTACAGAGATGTTTATGAAACTGTTAATGGTAAGCAGTATGACTAAAAGAGGCAAAATTCCAGGTTTTGAGGGATTTGCAAGGCCAGCTTTAGCAAAAAACAGGGAATTCCCTGTGAAAAGCTTCACAGTGGACATAAACCACCATTTTCTAATGAGGAATTTGAGGGTTTTACTCAGCTTTAGTGGTAGAAAAAAAAATTTAGAATAGCTGTTAAAACATCCTTGTTGCAAGTAGAGGGGTTAGGAATGAAGAAATAAAATAAGCTGTTCAACAATTGGAGACAATGAAAGTTTGGCAATTCTGTATTTCACTTATTCAATTAATAGTGTATTGTGATTTATCTTTTATAGCAGATATACAGCCACCCATTTAATCTAACACAGGCTTTGAATGCACTTTATAATTGTATAATTTATCAACACTTAGCTATTTGAATAATAAAGCCAACTGATTGGTTTTAGCACAACATCAATTATGCGTCACTGCCAACATCTCAGTTTTGAGAAATGTTGTCTTATGCTGCAAAGCATTAGCATGTCTTGGATTTTTATTACAAGAGGTGTTTTAGCAGCTCAGTTCTTTTTTGTGAGTAGCACAAGATGAGTTAAATTCAAACAGGAATATTTGTGTGTCTGTGTTACCTCTGAAACCCTGTAGTGACTTTACAACAGCTACTGCAATTCTTAGAAATACATTTAAAATTGTTTTAACTTTAAAAATTTAAAACATAAAGTGTTGTTATATTAAGCTCATCAAGAAATCTCAGGAATAAGTTGGATAAACTTTTTTATTAAACACTGATGGGAATATTATCTAATTTTGTCCATCAAGAACAATCACAGCTTTTACTGACTTAGCACTACATGAACAATGTAAATTCATTTTTTATCACAGAGGTCAGCAAAAACCAGTGAGGTAATTCACATTTTGTGCACTGAGTTTACTGAAGGATTTTTATTTTGTCATTCAGTCCTATGACCTGAGTGTCAGGGACCCCCAAACCTGCATGATTTTAATTTTCAGAGTAGCAGCTTGCATTAGCAGGGCTTAGGGGAAATTCTCTAAGATTCATACCAGAGTACCAGAGACTTCTCTTGCTGTTACCCACCACTGTTTTGGGACTGTAGCAGTGAAATTATGCAGTGAACAGGAAGATATTTGCCAGCCAAACTGAATTCAAAACTAATTACAACCACCTGCTACATGGGAACTTTGCTCATGTTCTAAGAGAGGTGAAAAAAATGTGCTGTCTTTTTGAATGCAATCAGCAATAATGGGATTGTACTTGCTGCTGGCTTAGACTAATTAATTGACAAAAATTTTTGGGGATTTTTTTAGAGAGAAAAAGAAAAAGAAAAGCAACTCTGCGCACATAAGAGAGAAAAATCCTTAAAAAAAATCAATGCATTAAATTAAATTAATGCCAATGAAGCAAAGATTTTGCATCAGAAAAAGAAAAAGAAATAAAAGGGAAAAAGGATAAAAGTGCAAACTAGCAGCATAAAAAATAATTTAAAAAATCAGACAACAGGGCTCAAAAGATTCCTTAAATCACTTTGCAAACCTTTCATTTATGTATTAAATTCTGAGGGCCAATTTAACTCATGCACTGGATGTCCATTCTAGTCTTTAGCTGCTACATTATTTCAAAGCTGTTCAAAGCATGTAGACATCTGTGTTGTCCTGCAGACAGGGGAATCTTGGCAGACTCCCAGAATAATTAGGAACAAAAATTCCGGAGCAAGAAAAGCGAGCATTGCAACCATTCCTTTTTGGTCCTGCCTCTTTGCTGCACACCAAACCAGGTAATTGCTACCTGAAATAAGTGGGAGGATGTTAAACAAAGCACGCCTGATTTGGGATCAGTGAGCAGGCTGCAGAGTTTGTCAGCTGCACCAAACAATTCCATCCTGGTTTGGATGCTTATTTTAATGCTCCTGCCACTTACTCAGTGGGAGCCCTCTCTGCATCACTGGAGCTGTCTCCTGAGCCCACAGTGATAAGTGACCCTGAAAAAAACCCCACGAAAAATGATCCAAGTATCAGCTGAAGCTAAGGCATTTCAAGAAACCCCCCCAGGGTGCCGAATTGGGCAACAGATTTGGAATTTCAAGTCTTGTTTTTGCTGTGATGCCCTGTAGAAGAGGAGAGATTTCACAACAAAACCACCAAAGTGCTGATAGATCTGAAAGGTGTGTGTGCAGACATTATGCCCTTGTGCATCTATTTTTTCCTCTCCTTTTCCACTGTGATATGCGAGCTCAAAACAATCACACTAACCAAAGAACAGCTGCATAAAACAAATACACATTAAAATCTTCACATTTTATAATATTTGAAGAGTAAAGAACACAAGAAATATCCCATTAAGAACACCAGTTTTTCAAGATCTTTCTTGACCTTTCTTTTGCAACAAAGAACACAAGAAATATTCCATTATAACACTGGTTTATCAAGATAACAGTTCTGACAGAAGCCATAGAAGATTCCATTTGGGAATAGCACACATTCTCAGCCATTTTCTGTGGTACATTTCCCTTTGGATTCTCCCAGTATCCACGGCTGTTGGATTTGGGATGCTATGGGGTTTGTATACACATACTGACCTTGGTATCTGCTGTCCATGCATTTGCATGGTCATACTCACTACATGGATATAATTATAACACAAAATGAACCATACAAGATTCTGTTAATGAGTCTATAGTTCTATAATGTGGGAGCAACACCAATGAATGAATTTCCATTGTTCATGTAGTGATAAGTCAACAAAAGATCTGATTGTTGACTGATAGAAGCCATAGAAGATTCCATTTGGGAATAGCACACATTCTCAGCCACTTTCTGTGGTACATTTCCCTTTTGATTCCCCCAGTATCCATGGCTGTTGGATTTGGGATGTTATGGGGTTTGTGTACCCATACTGACCTTGGTATCTGCTGTCCATGCATTTGCAAAATCCCCTTTTGAACATCCTCAAGTTTACTGGCTATAAACTTGTGTGTCTCAGAATAATCTGATACATATTGCTTAGAAAAACGGTATTTCATTCTGTAATTCAAGATCAAGCTGTGTTTTAATGAACTCCTTTATGGCTAGTGAGAAATTAAGTATTACCCCACCCATGTATAAAGAAATTCAAAGCTAGAAATGAAGGATGAGGTCTTTCATAAGCATTCATGATCTTTGGGATATAAATATTAAAAACTAAATGGCCATTCCATTCCAGGGTCTTCTGGTTAAATTTAGGGATTTTTCTGGTTTTTAATTTAGGGATTTTTTTTTTTCAGCTTAGTTTTAATACACTCATTCAAACAGATATTACTCCAGTCACTTTGTACCGAAAATGGGTAAGTCTGTGTTTGATTTTTTTTATGAGGAGAAAGTTGTTAGCTATTTTTAATAGAGGGCTGTGACTAATTTTATATTATAGCCTTGGCTAATAGATAATTAAGTGTTTCACTCAAATTAGCTATCACACAGCTAGAGGCAAAGTGGGAGGAAGCAAAAAACTTGGATTTTGCTATAAATTTTGTATTACCAGCTCCTGAACACCTCTGTGAAGCAGCTGATAGGAAACGCTACACTGGATAAGCATAACTTATGTTTGCATTTTGTTAATGGCAGTTTCAGAAGCTTAATTAAAAAAAAAATAAGAGAAGTTTAGTAAAAAAATGACAGGCAGAGGAGGAGGATCTTCCACAGACATAATTGAAGCTGTACAGATTGCAAAATGAATTTCCTGGGTTTTTCTTTTCACTGTCACCCATTATTTTTATAACTTCAATGTAATCCCCTGTGTTTTTGCTTTGGTCCATCTCCCTCCAGACCAGCAGGATTATTGACACCTCCCTGCTCACATTTTGCTGCAGGAACTCTTCCCTTTCACCAAGCACACACCTCTGCAGGATTCTGTTGGGTAAACTGACACCACAAGAGGTTAGCCATCTGTAAAAGCAATTTTTAAGCCACATAAACCAAGAGAAAGGTGTGATGCGTTTAACCTGTTATCTTGTGTGAAAAGAAGAATGGGAAGACACCACACCAGCAAAAGCCCATTTGCAACACAGCACTCAATGGCATCAGCTCTTGTAATATACCATTTGCATAAGGTTATTATTATTTGAAATATTTTTCTTCAGCCAGCACTTTAAAATCACCCATATATCATCACAATTGCTTTACAGCAGCACTCTCAAAACTTTACAATGATACATTAGAGCAGACAGCCAAGAAAGAACCATCTACATTTTTCTTCTATTTATCTGATAAACAGATACTTCTTATCAGAGCTGAAGGACATACTGTCTCTTTTGTCTCACATCTGCTATTTGGATCAAGGATACTGCAAGTTTGTTTTTATATCATATTGACATAAGCATGAGGAGTTCAGCTGAATTTAGAAAGTCACTCTGATGTCAATATACAACTTCCTATTTATTCAGCAGATTACATATTATGCTTATTTATCATGCATTTCCTATCACAGCCTGGTAGCTTCTTCACTAATTCTTTACTGGTCTTCTGCAACTCATACTTATTTTCTTATAATGTCTAAAGAAAAAATTTGATTAGCTTTTTTATTAGCTTCTTCACTAATTCTTTGCTGGTCTTCTGCAACTTATAATTCTTTTCTTATAATTTCTACAGACAAAATTTGATTAGTTTCCTAGCAGATACAATAGATATTTAAAAAATTAAAGGGGGAATCAATACATCAAAAAAAGACACTGAAGCCACACGAAGAAAAACGGAGGCCAATCATCATCAAGTGTACACTTCTATCAAATTGGGAGAGATACACATAAAGAATGTGGAATTAGATGTCCTTCACTCAGTTTTGGCAACATGTTAATTTCTGCCTGCTCAGGAAGGCAGTAATAATGCAGATAGGTGAAATCCTCTCTTCCAGAATAAGTGTTTGCTCCAGGTACAGAATTTGCAAAACCTCAGGGTTTTAAGGTTAGAATATTATGGAAAGAGGTGTAAAGATTTTGTGTGGTCAAGGTCAGAGTCATGTCTATATTTAACCAGCAAAATATTCTCTGAATCCCTTTTTGCTTTCTGTACCTTCATTTGCAGCCTGGTAAAGAGAAATACAATGTGCAAATGCCTCTTTGTCAACTCTGCTCATATATATCTCTGTTCTACCTTACCCTGTTCTGGACATTTACAGAGCCAGAAATTTTCTGTCTGAAATATCTCAAAACTAACAGCAATGCTATTATTCACTGGATGCAACAGAAATGCTACATAAATAAAGTGTTTATCTTTGAACTAGCCAGTATAAAAGACAGAATGAGAAATCTCAGCCATCTAATATCTGTGTCCAACTTTGGTATTGTGACCACATATTCCCATTGATCCCAGAATATTCCCATCAGTATTTAATTAAAAGTTTATCCAACTTATTGCTGAGATTTGATGAGCTTAATATAACAACACTTCATGTTTTAAATTTTTGAAGTTAAAACAATCTTAAATGTATTTCTAAAAATTGCAGTAGCTGTTGTCAAGTCACTACAGGGTTTCAGAGGTAACACAGTAGGAATATAACAGGGAACATATTTCTGCAACTCAGGGTTTTTATCCTATTTAGATGACCATGCTTCAGCTGGGTAGGACATTTCAGGAAAAAAAAAATAAGGAACAAGCCACAAACAAACACCTTCAGAAATATAATAAGACATATAAAAGCTGTTTGTTTTTCACTCACATATGAATAAACACGGAAAGATTTGGTCTAGAGAAAGACACCTTCAAAGGAACACCCACAACAATTTTCCTCCATTGAAAGCCTATTAGAAAATCTGCAATTTAAGTGTTCTCCATGGCCCCTGGAGAAAAAGAAAAAAGCATTAGATGTACAATTTAAAAAAAAACTTATTGTGGAATACACTCAGAGTGTTACAGAGCTAGGCAGTACAGCAAGCCATCCTTATTTGAAAGTGTGCAGAACAGAATGGAGACAGAGGTGGCAGGGACAGGGTTACATGTAAAAAATTGATTATGTTTAAAACTTTTGCAGAGTGGGATGCACAGCCCTTATTGCTATAATTCAGTGATTTGCATGGCTGTAACAGAAGTAAAAAAATATTGTGCAGAAAATATTGTGCAGAAAATTACCACAATTCTGGCTTTGTTTTCAATTTTTGAAGTAGCACACTGCACTTAAAGCGTGTACTTTTGTTTTCCAGCTGCCAGAGAAGGAAATATGATAATATTTAATTTCTCTGAAGTCTGCACAAGTTGACTAAATTCTTTTGAAATAGTCCTCTTGTTTTCCTTGTCATCAAATCACAAGTTGTTATAGCATAGAGAGAGTGCCTCTTTATAGCACAGAGAGTGTCTTGGGGACAGAGTAAAATTTGCCATAGTTACCATTATTCACACTTTTTAAAAATTTTACTTTTTTAAAAATGCCTCTGAAATGTGACCAATGTTTTATCTAAATTTATTTTAAAACAGGTCTTAAGAATTCCTTTAACAAATACTTTTGTAACAATTCTGCACACATTGACAAAAGAGCTTTCTTTTCCTTGATCCAAGTATTAAGCTCCCATTAATACTAATAACAACTTTTAAAAACCTTTCTGTTATGTTTTACAAGAACTCTGGGTGCTATACTACAAATGTTCAGTTCAAGATTAGTTCAGATTCTGGACATCCAGATAAAATAACCAAAGAAAGTATCACAAGTATTTTAAGGGGAATCATCTGAAATCAGATGTTGGCGTTGTTAAAGATTACTGGCACAACAATCTAAATACACAATGCCGTTGACTTACATACTCAGCATTGAAAAAAAAAAAAAAAGAAAAAAAACCAAAACCTGCTTTCTCTATTGTTTTAATTGCAGCTTGTTCATTGAAACCAGCTGCAATTAAAGGCAACAGTTCTAAGGAAGGATTTCACAGAATTTCAGAGGGATTTAGGCTGGTAGGGACATTGTCCACTTCCCACTGTCAAATCAGGGCAAACTCAAGCAGGCCTGCTCAGAATCATGGCCAGGGAAGTTCTGAATCTTCAGGGAAGGAAACTCCATAACCAGCCTGGGAATGTTGCTTCAGTGTTCTACTGCCCTCTTGGGATTTTTTTTTCTTTGATTAAATTTTTCTCGTATTTAATTTTATAGACTTTGCCCCATTTTGTCCCTTCACTGGATGCCACTCCTCCAACTCCACCCTTTTGGCACTTGTTAGGAAAATTAAGGAGATGTGACTTCACATGCACAATCATTTATTTTCAGCATGAGAAAGAGCTGAGGATATTAACCTAGGAAATTATCATATTTATGTGTCTGAGTTAAAAATCTCCCATGATATACATAGAGAGCACTACAGAAACAAACAGAACAATTGTTCCCATTAACAATGAATAGATAATTGAAAAATTAATGGTATGAGTTTCAACCATTAGCAAACAGAGATTTTGGTTTGACTGCTCATATGTATTCCTTTCTAGTTAATATCACCATGATTAAGCTTAAAGAAGTTGCATCTACTGGGCTTTAATGTTTTTATGAGATATATAAACATGGACAAAACACACCACAGTTAGAATTTTTAATTTCATACACAGCTGAAGTGAAGCCATATCACAATGCCAGCATTTCTATTATTTCACAGACATTTCAGAACTATTGACTTGACTTGATGAAAGAACTTTAAGATCTGTATTTGGCTAACACATGAAAATTCCATTTGTATTCTAAACATGGACTTTGACGAGAAACACAAAAAGAGCTGTCTCCAGATGCCAGCTGGGACAATCAAGAACCACTTAGCAACCTGTGGAGATTTCAATCACTGAAGCAATTGACAGGTTAGTTGGATCCTAATTATTCCTGAAATGAGAATAAATTTCTGCAGCTTGAAATGAAAGAGCTAATATTTTCAAAAAGAAAAAATAATCTAGATAGAATTAGGAAATGGTGCACTTTCATCCAGAAATCATTCATAATGAATAGGATAGCATCAGGCTGGTGACCTGTGATTATATGGGTTCCACATAACCTCATTTTAAGTCCCTTTGCTCTTCAACATCTGCTTAAATGACTTGGACTGAGGGATGCTGAGCAAGGTCAGAGATGACACAAAATTGGGAGGAGCAGAATCCCTCAAGGGCAGAGAGACCTCAACCAATTAGACAACTGGACAATCACCAACCAAATGAATTTCAACAAGGAAAATGCCAGATCCTACAGACAGGACTGGGCAACCCTGGGTATGTGTAGACTAGAGAATGAGAGGCTGGAAAGCAGGGCCACAAAAAGGGCCCTGGGGGTCCTGATCCATGGAAAGTTGAATGTGAGTCAGTGCTCTGGAGCCAGCAGGGCCAGCCCTGTCCTGGTGGCATCAGGGACAGCATCACCAGCTGGGCAAGGGAAGGGATTGTGCCACAATATAAAAAAGACATTGGGTGTCCAAAGGAGGACAAGAAAGATTGTGAAGGGCCTGGAATGCAAACAGTCTGAGAAATAATTGACGTCATCTTGTTTTTTCAGAAGAAGGGACTAAAGGGAGAACCTCATCACAGTCACCAATATCCTTGTGTTGGGCAAACAGTGATCTCTCCCAGGATCCCAGGGAATGGCCTGAAATTGTGTCGGGGAGGTTTAATTTAGATATTAGAATAATCTTCTTCACCCAGAGGGTGATTGGGTATTGGAACAGGCTCCCCAGGTTCATGGCACCAGGCCTGACAGAGCTCAAGAAGCTTTTGGACAATGTTCCTGTGCACATGTGTGTCATTCTTGGGGATCGTCCTGTGCTCTGGCTGCTTCCCTAGGGAGCCTGTTCCTGTGCCCATCCACCCTCTGGATGAAAAACCTTTTCCTGACATCCAACCTAAACATGCCCTGACTCAGTTTCATGCCATTCCCTCAAACCCTGTCCCTGGTCATGAGAGTGAAGAGATCAGTGGGAGGACGCTCAAGTCCAAATTGAGGTCTCCCTCAGTGTCCTCTTCTCCAGGATGAACACAAATCTCAGCCACTCCCCATATGGCTTTCCCTCCAGATTCTTCACCATCCTCCTGTCCCTCCTTTGGATGCTCTTTAACAACTTGATATCTTTGCCATATTGTGTTGCCCA